AAAATGGAATGAAACACGGGAGACTACTTCAGTACCCCCTAACATAGCAACTGAGACTATGGAGCAACTGCCTTGTAAGAGAAAGGACAATGGGATGTGGGCTCCTCTTTCTAATAAGCCAGGATTTTGGGTTCCTTTGCTCTTATTTCTCTTCAGTGTAAGGATCAAGGATGGGATGTTGGTGGGTGGCTGGGTATACACACACACAACCAGTAGGCACACACTGTAACAGGAAGGTACCTGGTGTCTGTGTGGTGTAGCAGATACAGTAATGGACTAGGACTCAGGTGAACCTCACCTAGTCAAAGAAACTCACTGGTGCAGTAGGGGATAGAACTGGTGAAATCACTTCTTAAATATCTCATTTCTTTTGAAAGCCCTATTAAGGCCTCTAACTTGACCCTCATTCATTTGCCATTATGAATCCTGAAAATATAAATGCTTCTCTGCTTAATGTACTGGGATTATTTGCATCACACCACTAGAAAAACAAGTTCCTCCACAGCATAAAATAAAATGCTATGCCTCCATGCCCTTCCTTAGCAAAAAGTATAGGAAAAATACAAACAGAAAATGAGATTAGGCTTCCTTACCTGTCATTTATTTGCTGTTGCTATGCTGTTGCTTGTTATAAACGAGTAGCAACCGGTACTGTGCTGTTCACACTCAAGCTCTGTAGCTCTAGGCAGGAGGATCAACACATCTCCTCACTCGACCTGTTCTAGAGAGCTGCCAAAACTATCAGAAGCATCTCAAAGGTAGCAGCAGAGATGACTGGCGAAGAGAGAGGCAGAAACACACTGAGCAGTCCATCCCCCATCAATACCAGCTGGTGTAGCAGACTGTAGGGCTATAGTATGCAATAGCACCTATTGTGTTCCATGCCTGGAAGACTGGGAGTCAAACTATACATGACACAGGGGTTGTTGTACAGATGGCAGTTCCTCAAATATTAAAAGTTGCCTGAGAGTAATTCCACAAGCTTTCCTAATCTCTAGTAACTCAAAAACTAGCTGGCTTTGTTTTATGACTGATCTTCAGGATCGAACTCCTGCTTGGCTTGCATTCTGATTGCTGAAAGGCTAGGAGATGATTGTATGGTTGAAATGCTCATGTGTTTTCTAATGAGTAAGAACTCTAGCACCTAATTTTAACCCTGTGAGCTGGAATCTTATTCAGTGACCACACAGCATCTCCTGCTACATCTGAAAGCAGTGAACTAGTTAATGGGCTATAGTGAAGACTTCATGATCTATACAACTTCTATTTTCCAAACACTGCTGCTGAATTTTCTGTCTCCCATCCTTGGAGGCAACTACCTCATTTTCCCTTAACAGTAGAGTCACTGCTAAAAGCTGGTTCCTTGGAGTGGCATTTTGGGTTGTCTGGACTGTTATCATTAATGGTATAAGGAGGAAGAATAAATACTGTTTCCTGGTTATAGCAAGTGATTTGCCTAAGGAGGCCCAGGAAGTTTTGGCTGACACTTTGTGAACAGCTTATGTATCAGTCCTGTTGTAATCATGCATGTGTAACTTAATGGTAGAATTGCATCTTAACCAACCAAACAGGGATTTGAATCCACAAAGAACCCCAACACTGTGCCTACTTTACCATGCAAATGTCTTATGAGAAAGGCTGTTGTAATTGCTCTGTTTTGTAGGGCTCTGGCAGTAGAGGAATACATGAGTTGTTGCCAAAATCCAGGCAGTTATTGGCTAAAGACTAAGCTTTGGCACGCAATGTGGAAAGACAGTGTTTTGCACTACCACTGTTACTGAGGCCGGGGTCTGTAGTGCTTTTCTGCTCCAATAAATGCCTCCCCATTTTCTTTAGCTGTATTTTAAAAGTAAGAATTTGCACTAAAGACCTAATATTGTTGTCCTTTTTTGTTTCTTTTAGCTTGGGAACATCTAGAGATCTCAAAAGTATAATTAAAATACACAGAAGAGTTGATTTGTTCCAATGCATGTCCAAGAATTGGTTCTCCCCAGCTTCTTCAGCCAGTTTGGCTGATATTTAATCCCTGTAAGGCACAGGAACTCTGGTTTCTGCAACTAAAACTAGTAAATGTCATCTGAATACACTGTCACATTTAAAAGACTGAAGCAGTTTTCATCTGCAAATTGTCAAAGTTCATTTTATGCCAAGTCTGAGGGGAAAGTGGCATCTCCTCCCTTCTTCCATTTCTCCTTACAAGGATGACTGTACGTCAGCCAGCGTTGCCCTGTCTTGTTCACTGGATATGTGTCTTCTGTGCCATTGTGTATTTTTTTTGTGTGGTGCTCAGTTCATGCTATGTTAAATTCATATAATATAATTTTATTATTAATAGCACTTATACCTTATTCTGTAGCAGAGAAGGTTCCTGTCTTACATCTGAACAGAAACAAGTGAAGGCAACTCCTATTAGGCTGACAATTTAGAAAAGAGAAAGACCAATATAAAAATGAGATGGGGAGAGCAAGGAAAAACAAGAAAAGTCTGATAAAAGTTCAAGTAATAACTAGATTTAATGCAGCTACTGTATAATGCTATGCAGTGCTTTAATGGTTAATTGTTAGGTTTCTTAATTAAGGCCACCTAGACTGGAAACAGTCCTAAAGCTGCAAATTGATAGGGTAGTCCTGGCCTTCTCAGTGTGATAGAGTTGCTGCTGGATAATACTGAAAGAGAGGCATAGCCCAATGCAGCTTGCTTCTCAAATTAATAGTAGCCCAGGTTTGTTTTTCTTCCTCTTAACCTTATGTGTAAAGAATCCCAGACAGTGCAGGATATCCATTGGTTACGTTGAAATAATGTCTTGTGTTCAATGGGCTATGCTCCCTCCTGGCCACAGAAAATGAGAATCCTGTGTATGGATCTTCCCCTGGTAAAGTCTACTTCAGCTTCGCATACGTACTGCTGCCATTATGATCTAGAGACCTCTGAAACCACTGATGCCAGGCTATGTATATTCAAATGATGTCAGGGTGTACGGGAAGAAAAAATAGACTGCAGTTTGGGGCAACAGCCCGTTCTTCTTCATAATATATCATTTGGGGTGGGGGGGAGGATAACTCTGCAATGGCACTGGAGAAGGAAATAATACAATGGCTGGGAGAACGTTAGCAGTGGGAAGAAGATTACTCACTGTTGAGTGAATGCTGTTATGACTATGGTTCCCAACCTTGAGTCCCCACTAGATGTGTTGGCCAAGATTTCTGAGAATTGTTGTCCAGGAACATGTGGGGACCCAAGGTTGGGAAGCACTGTGTTTAAATCTTCTAGAAAAGCAGGTGATCATCAACTGCCCTTCCCAGATGCAGTTTTTAGGAGTGCACATTACATCCCTATACTGCCTAACTGTGGAAACAGTAAATTGAGGGTGTCTTTTTATCTGATTTATTTTTCTTTAACTGGTTAACTGGTTACAACATGCAGGTTTAATCAAAATGGCAAAGCCCTGATCAGCGCTTGGTTTTATTGAAAGACCATTTGGAAAAGATAGTGGAAGGTGTCAGACCATTCTCCCAAATGCTGAATGACCACAGCCTCAAGTTGCAGTCCAAAAAAAAGTTACAATTTTGGACTGCACCTCTTGGAATCTTCTAGCCAGCACTCTTGCTGGATGAGTTATTCTAGAAGTTGTACCCCGAAATGTAACATTTCATAGTTGTGCTACAGTCATTGCTGCGTTCATACATTATTTTGCTTGTTGGTTGACCTCTCTCTCGGGGTGTCTGTGTGTGTTGGGGTTTAACTAGTATACCACATGGGACCAGATTTGGCCCAAGGGCTGTTGGTTGCTGATTCCTCTAATAGGGTAAAAAGTTCATCCAAATCCAGTGGAAAATCATTATGTGCAAGTTGTACCCAGGTTCAAATATAATACAAGGGAATAAAAGGAATACTAAGTTCTGCCCGTACAGATTTTGCCAGTAAGTCTCTTGAATTAGAAGTTCTGAATATTGAGTAATACAGAAATACAGAATAACAATGCCTGAATTACTCCTGCAGAATTGAAAGTACTTAACTGGCTGAGCCAGTTTTCATTTATTTCTATGGAAGAGTAGGTCAACAGGGAGTAGCAGGGTTCTTTTAAAATAGACCACTGCTGTTTTTTTCTTATTATTAGCTGTTCATCTCCACCACAGCCCACAAAGTAGCTCTCTGAAGTCCCTTTATAATAAATGCACGCATGACTCATGCTAACCACATTTGCAATTCTTCTCCCCTCAGAAATCTTGGCTAATCTCAGAATCCTTCATCCTTTTCTGTTTTTGCCTAATATTTTTTTTCAGAACCTCAGACTTGCTAAATTCATGCTAAAGCACACAAGTTTACTTAATATTTTAAAATCCCATCTAATTTAGAAATGCTAGGCAGTTAGCAGTAAAAACAATCTAAAGTGCCATTAAATGTATCTAACACACAGGACAGTGCTGTGCATGTGAGGAATCAAAGCAGCTCACAGAAAGAACATTCCTGTGGTGAATTTTCCCCACCAAAAGTGTATGGTACTGCTTGCCATCTGTCATGACATCATGTTATTGGGAAGACGTTATAAGCCTGCAGGAATGGTACCGTTAACTTTCTATAACATTTTCTATAATGTTAAGTATGTTTATAGCAATTATTAGCATATTCCCCATCCCTCATTCTCTCCTTCGCACACACAGCATTGTTCCCCTGTATAACATTGTTCCCTATTAACTGCCTCTATGGAACAAAATGTTGTGATTGCTTTTCCTCCCAGCAAACCCCAAATTTTCAATTCGGTTCTTCTTGTGATTGAGCAAATATGAAGGTTTTTTTTAACTAATAATTTTTCCCTTAGGGCAGATTTTTCCAACATGGCTCCCTCAGAGATGTGTCAGAATACAAGTCTATAATCTCTCCAGTGCCGCATTAGGTTTACATTGCTGTTTTCATTGTCATATGCATATTTATCAACATTCAGGATTAATTATTCCCCCCAACATATATTTTCACTTTCTGTTCTATTTTTTCTTTTTCAGGTGCTATGCAATGGTCCTGGGACATGTGTTCCCATATGCATATCTGCCCTTCTACTCAGGATGCTGGGATTAAAAAGAGTAACCATTGTGTATGTTGAGAGCATCTGCCGTGTGGAAAACTTATCCCTGTCAGGAAAGATTCTTTATTATTTTTCAGATTACTTCATTGTTCAGTGGCCTGCTCTGAAAGAAAAATATCCCAAGTCTCTCTATCTTGGGCGAATAGTGTGACAACAAAAGACAAACTTAGCTTGTGGCACTAGAACTATTTCCAGACATTTTAAGCCTCTGAACTTTCCAACCATCCGACAGTTTGGGGATCATGTGTTTGAAGAAATTGTATATTTGCACAGACTTGGAAGTCAGTTCCTACATGAACTGGGATGAATGTGTGGGTAAAACTAGCATTCTACGAATTGCACTGCTTACTACAGTAGTTCTCATCTGGCATCTCCCCTACCCCTGCATTGTGATATGGGCACCCTTGCTCCCCTTCCAGCCAAAGGAACACCTTTCTAATGTGGCTCAAAATAAAGAGAACAAAGCAATAGGGGGGATGGCTGTCAATTATTTTGAAATAGCACCATGGAGAAGGCTGTGATCTTACATTCCTGAATGTTTCTTTGTCTTGAAAGATCTCCAAACTGGTAAGAACTAGAAACAAAAAAATTGCACAGGTGATATCAGTTTCCTGACTTTTAAAAACTAGATTGGTTGTATCTCAAAATCAGCCCCTGTGAACCCCGTTTGTCCACAAACATTTCAGAAATGTTAAGAGCTACACTTATTAAATTTGAATGGCTATTATATATTCCTTGATTTAAAAATAACTAGATGGGTTATATTCAAATTCTCTTTTCCCGAAGCCTTAATTGGTTTGATTGATGGTTGGCTTTTAGTAGCCTTGCTCATAGGTGTTTGCTGATCTTCTCTGTTAAACTAGTACAAAGTGAATGAATATGGGAAGGGCAATGCAGAAGAAAGAATCTGGGGTGTGAGGGAAAATAGAGAGAAGGCATGGGGTGAGGGCAGGACTAGCAGGTTTTTAACTCAAAGTCAGGCTCATCTGCTATTTATTAACATGGCATGGCACAAATTGCAGGACATTTACAGAGTAGCATAAGCCCTTTCTTCTCTTTCTACCCTCATCTTTTTCTTGCTCCATGGCCAATTGCCCTAGCTGAAATTCCTTTTCTGATTTCCACTTTTGAAATTCTTGGGAGGTTAAAGTAGTTTGTCCGCCCTTTGAGGCATCCTCCTCCTGAGCATCATCTTTTTCTTGCTCAGCTAATTCAAGAGGGCTTTCCTCTTCATGAGGTAACCCTTGTCCTTCAGATACCTCCGTTGTTAACCCTTTCCCTCTTTTAGAAGGCATGGCTTATCAGTGTTCTCACAGATTCAGAAAGACAAGCCTCTTTTTAAAAGGGACCTATTTTTTCTGTGTTCGGGAGAGATTTCTTGATACGTAGTAGCTTTGACAGCCTAGGTTCGCTTCTCTGTTATTCCAGGCACCCAGCCTGAGCTCCTTGTAGGATACACTGTTTCTTTTGGCTTCCAGCCACCCAGCTATTTCTGCTTATTTTTATTTTTCTATTTTCCAAGCCCCTGTGCTTGGTCCAGTTCCCCTCAGATCTGTATTTGACCTTGGCTTCCACTTTTTGTCATCTCAGTACTCTCTCCTCAGAGCCTAGGACCCAAAACAAGCCCACTGTCTTTCACAATCTTCAGGTTAAACTGTTGAATTTTCCTCAGAGCTTCCCTTTCTCTAGTCTTTCCCCCCCGGTCTGCAACCAAGAGTCCCTTTTTAAGCTTTTCACCAAGCAACTTTCAAGGGTCCCACTCCTGTCCTTACAGCACCAGACTACTAGGTCTCCTACGCTCAGGAATTTCAAGTTTTTCTTTGGTTTACTGGAATCCCTTTGGCTTACTGGATTATCTTTCGATCCCACCGCTGCCACCACTTGTGGCAATCTACCCTTTGTTGCCCCTATTTCTTTGGGTCCGACAAAGGAACATGCCCTTTCACACTGCCACCAGGCATTCTCCTAATACCAGTGCTGCCAAAACTAAGGGTTATAGAACTTAGGAAGCAGAGGTTTTAATTTTCTTTTATTATCAAACAAATCAAAAGATAAATCACATATGAACTGTTTCAGGTGTTAATACATATTGAATCATGTAGTCAATCACTTTTATTCCAAACTGTTGTATGCTTCAATCAATATCTCTCTTGTAATGCTTATACTTTCATTCCTGCTTGTTCAATATGGTTTAAACATCTCAATTTCCTCTCCTAACACCCTTAGCTCAATTCACTGATCCTCTCCTTCATTTTCCTAAACCCTCTCATTCCACATCTTCAACTATCCCTAACTCTCTCTAACTGTCTGTCTCCCCAACTCCCTGTCTCTCTGGCTCGTACCCCTTGAGCTCCTGTGATGGACAGGCAGGAATGATGTCACCTTTTGACATTTTGCTACACTTACTTTGATCTCCCTTTGTGTTTCTGGCACACAGAAGCATATTCAGATGAGACGGTATATTCAGTTCAGAGAGGAAACTGGTGCTTAGGTGTTGATGTGGACTCAGGAATTGTGGAACTAAGGATAAAGCCTGCTTGCCATCTCACTCCTGATAAGGCACAGGAATAAAACCATATGTTGAAGTTTCAGAACTCCCCCCCTCATTGCAGCCCCTAACACCATCTCAAAATCTGCTCCAAAGGTTTTCCCACCCCTCCACAGCTGTTTTGGGGGGCACATGGGAATCTGCAGTAAGAAAGGATGATTGCTGTTCCAGCAGCTGAAGTTCACCACTGGATTCTGGATTCTGCCTGAAATATCCTCTTCACAAACCACTGCAAGTGTTTCTCCACAAATATGTGGGAGGGTGGATGGGTGGCCTCTACAAAAGTAAGTCTGATTAAACTTTGCATGGAGAAATTCCACTGGGAAAAATGTTTGTAATGTTACACCTTCCCTTCAGCCTTCTTAACTACCTGAAGGAAGGAACAAGTGGGTTCTGATGTATTTGCATGCATACAGGAGATTCTTTATGACCCTAGTATGTCCTCTGCCAAGCTGGGCGATAGGTTGCACCTTGAAGCCCCAACAGTCTGATTTCAAAAGGTGTGTGGCTGTAGTGCCACAGAGAGCTTACTTAATTGTGTCTCTAAATGGTAAGAAATAAATTCTTTTTCTAGTACAACACTTGTTTCCTGGATGTAAGCAGGAAATCCCTGGTGAATATTTTGCACATAAAGGAAATGGTCATATTAGCTTGGCTTCATGACAGTTTTCACTCTGCAGCCTTTCCAAAACCTCAAGCATTGAATCTCATATCCTTTTTCCATTTGTCCTGTCAAGAGTTGGCTCTTGCATGTTCTAAAGTCTTGTTTGTATTTAATTGTTAAAACAAATGAAAAAGTAACCACTGTCAGAAACAGATATATTCAGGAGACAGTCTTTTCCATGCTGAACCTTCAGTCTTCTTAAAGGTGTTAAATTTCAGAGTGCAAACTCATTAGAAAGCAGTAAGATTCTTTAGCCTTTTTTGCAATCCCATGTGTGAATACTTAAATGAGCATTAACAATGCCAAAACACAGAGAGGCAGAAAGTAGTGAAAAGAAAAATACCACTTTGTCAGTGAACCTTTTTTTTTGTATATTTAGCTTTTATGTGTGTAAAAGTTCAAGGCTCTATGTGAAGCATTCTTTTCTCTACACACACCTTAAATAGGAAATGATATTTAACATCAACTATTATTAGGAAACAGATTCTGCAGGAGACTGGATGTTGTTAAGTATGCTGTAACAGTTTAGTTCATCTGTTAAAATTCTAATCCTGTATGTTCCTCAGCATACAAAGCAGAATAAACTCTGTTCTGCATACAGTTACGCTAACAAAATCTGGCTGGAGAAATACATTCATTGGAGGAAGTAATACAAAAAGGAAACATTTTATGACGTGCATAATCAGAACGTGAGGAAACCAAATGATTCTACGACTGAAATCCTGCTGCTTTTTTATGCAAGTGGCAGGGAAACAGCATAACATTCACTTACTCCTAGCCAGCAGTTAATGAGTCCTTTCTGGGATTCTGAAGCACTTGCCAAGCTGACAGGTGCCACTGAGAATTGCCTTCTGTGCCAGTTAAAAAGCAACGGGATTTCAGCCTGTGCATGTTAATGAAAATACTTTTTAACATTTCTATAAACATTGTAAATATTTATATAATTTACAATTTATTTTCAAAAAGCGAACTGGGAAGACAGTTTTGTAGAGATGATCATGCCCAGTCTACAGAAGAAATGATTCAGCTCCTCTGCCTCCCGAACAATGACATCTTGATACTGCTGAATATCGGTATAAGTCTGGAAAGAAAAGGAGCATGAACAGAAGTCAGTCAACTCGGTATGTTTAATATCCCATGAGGTCCAGTTCAGACTTTTGGAACAGTTCAGTTTTTATTTCAGCAGAGAATATTGAGATTGGTGTAGCTATGATGACACCATAAATCACAGAATTTGACTTGGCAGTAATTTCTGAGGATTTTTGTTTTTAAAAGCTGGAATAATATATTTCTGGGCTTTGACTGAAAAGAATAAGGAGGTTTCAGTGAGGAGCTCAAAAACTGTTTAGGGGCCATTGAATGCTATCTTTATAAGTGTCTAGTAAAATGCATACAGTGCTAAGCTGTACACTTAGAAAAGGAAGGCATACACTGCCTTTGATTCAAGTGTTACCATCTGCCACAAACTAAATCATTATTAGAGATGGGTATGAATTTTAAAAGGTGATTCATTTTAATTACAACTTTACAATTTTTTCCTGAAAATCGATTACCGTATTTTTCTGTATATCAGATGATACTTTTGTCTAAAATCGCAAAGACTGAAAATTGAGGGTTGTCTTATACATGGAAGTAAGCTTAGGAGAGAACAAAAAGAAGTGAAGGGGGGAAGGGATCAAAGTGATCCTGTTGCACTTTGATCACTGCTTTCCCCCTCCACTTGCTAAGCCCTGCGGGGCTTAGCAAATGGGGGAGGGAAGCAGGGATAAAAGTTTGGGCTGCAGGATCACTTTGATTGCTGCTTTCCCTGCCACTTCCTAAGCCCCACAGACCTTTGCAAAAGGAGGGGGAAAGCAGTGATCAAAGGGCTGCAGGATCACTTTGATCACTGCTTTCCCCGCCACTTCCTAAGCCCCACGGGCTTAGCAAATGGAGGGGGAAAGCCGCGATCAAAGGGCTGCAGGATTGCTTTGATCACTGCTTTCCCCCTCCTTTTGCTAAGCCCCATGGGCCTTAGGAAGTGGTGGGGAAAGCAGCAATCAAATTTCCTAATTTGGGGTTAGAAAAGTGGGGGTTGTCTTATACATCGGGGCATCCTATACACAGAAAAATACGGTAATTTGTCAATCCATTTTTTATTTTAAAACCTTATAAAACAGCACCCAAAGCACCTAGGGACATCACATTTACAGAGAAGCGTCCCCTGATTCTCCTTTACAAGCTCTCCACACGTTTATTGAAGATTGAGTTTTGGACTTCAGAGTCATACACCCACAAGGAGCCCCCCCCAGAAAAGGAATCCCCCCTGGCACCTAGAGACACAAAAATCATAGAGAAGCTTCTACTGTGTCTCCTCTGCAAATGTGGTGAATATTGGGTTACAAACATTTGAGTAATATACAGTGGTGCCTCGCATAGTGATCGCTTCGTTTTACGACGAAATCGCTTTGTGACGCATTTTTTGCGATCACAAAAGCGATTGCTTTGCGATGTTCCCTATGGGGGAATTTCGCTTTGCGATGATCGGTTCCCTGCTTCAGGCACCGATCATCGCAAAGCAATAATTTTTAACAGCTGATTGGCGGTTTCAAAATGGCCACCCGCTGTGTTTAGGGACGGATTCCTCGCTTTAGAGGCACCGAAAATGGCGGCGCTATGGAGGATCTTCGCTTAAAGGTGAGTTTCAAGCCCATAGGAATGCATTAATCGCGTTTTAATGCGTTTTAATGGGCTTTTTAATATCGCATAGCGACGTTTTTGTTCTGCAGCAATTTTTGCAGAACGAATTAACGTCGCTATGCGAGGCACCACTGTATATCCACAAAGTGAGTTTTCCCAGGATAGTGCCCTTTAGCAGCTGGCTTGGGAAAGCCCAATGTTCACCAAACTTGGAGGGACTGTAGAGGGGAGACAGTAGAAGCTCCTCTGTGATTTATGTGTCTCTAGGTGCCTGGGAGGAACTTTCTTGTGGGGGCCTCTTAAATGACTAGTGCTATCAGACTTTGAAGGTATCATAATATACATATGGTACAGGTATTAATTTTTCTGCATTTTTCCAACTGCATACTTATCAATTTTCAACTGTATTTTTTCTAACTTCATATTTTGTGTCCAGCTGCACATTTTTAAAAAACAAACTTTCTCCAGATCCTTTTGAACTCCCAGCACCCCTCATTTTTAGCTATTCTGACTACAACTAGTATACTCACTCTAGCGAGTTACTTTTTCAATTCATCACAGAATTATAGGCCCACTACTACGTACTTACATTTTTAAGTATACTCAACTGTTCCTACTTCCTTCCCCCCCCCATCCAATTTTATCTTCATTATAAACCTGCAAAGAAGGTTAGAGAGAAATACAGCAGCCCATCCAGGGTTACCTCTTAATCTTAAAGGCTGAGCAAGAATTCAAAATCAAATATCCTTGGGTCTTCAGCCTGATGCTACATTACAGAATGCTAGCTATGTATATTTCCTACACATATTTTAAAAAGTGACAATATCTACAGGACTAGACCTTTTGATGTTGTATATTGCCTCTTTAAGATGAAAGCCCAGAAAATGGGCTTTTTGCATGGCAAAGAAGAGGAGCTAGGATATTCACATTCATTTAAAGTCAACTATTGCTTTGTGTTCCAAGAAGTTTTAATTAATAAATGTTAGCTGAAGATTTAGCATTGAGATCCTATTTCTTCTTACCAAATTCATATTCATATCCAAAGGCAACCCTAATATGTTTCCTGTGCTGTTGTTTGGAAAAAGTGTAGTCAAATCTCTTATTCTTACACTGTGTGAAATCAGTATTCATATATAACTGTAAAAGAATACTGTCTTTTGGTTTAGCTGGAGTAGACATATCTCTACAGTATGTCTCAAAAATATACTGTATTTAGCACACACACTTATTCAGCTCTGCACAAAAACTAAGTGGTTAAAACCCTTTCTTGGGAGGAATTGTGAACAGTATGTGTGGGTAAACACGTAATATCCTTGGGAATGACCTGACCTCTAACTTCTACTTAATGTGTGCTAACATTTGGCCTAGTAACTCAAATGGGGGTTATGTTATCAGTACTTTCTGCAGAGTTGCATATTGTTTTGGTAAACAAGGGAAGATGGTGTACTGTCTGTTATGACTAAGAGTCTTTCAGTTCACTGGGAACATTCATTATGTGTTCCCTTTAGATTCTGTGTCACTTAATTTATTCTGTAGCCTAAAAAATGTCTCTCCACTACATTGCTTACATGCACAAAGATTCCCATAGCTCAGTGATGGAGAGTGTAGATGTCTGAAGGGCTAGTATAAGGTCTACACATTTCCAGTTAAAGATAATGTTAACAAGCTTGGGATCTGTGCCTGAGACACAGATGGAAACTGCTGGTTAGAGAAATGGTATAGCCCTAGATGGATGCGAAATCAGCCATTTTCCTATGTATATATGGGCTCTACTAAATGAACTTTGTTTTTTTCTGGGAAGCCTAGGTTAGGAAAAAATATATAATTTTCTTCCCAATTGAAACCTAGATTCAAACTCTGTTCTGTGAACTTGCTATGACACAGCTACAATTTCAGCCATCACTACAGGAAGAGGCAGTGGTGGATGAAGCACTTGTAAGGATGAAGCAAGGCAATGGATATATAATCCTCTGACTTCTCATTTTCTATAATTCTTATCTTTTCTGAAAATCTTTTCTTCTCTGGGATGAAAAGGGCTAGGTGGAAAGGCTACACAGCATATAGGTGACAGGTTAAGTATTCCCTGAAGCCACTGCTTCACTCCTACAGAGGCCCCATCTTCCCTCTTCTCCTACTTTGCGCAATGACAGCAAACAAAGGATTGGCAATCTCACCCAGAGGCAATCTCACCCAGACTCAACATATCTAACATACGTTGCAGCAAAGGAGAGAAATGACATAAAAAAACTCAATATGAACAACCCTGACCAGTGTGAAGACAAGGTGTAGACAGGTGTCAGATCTTGCTTTTAGGGCTGGGCAACATTAAGATGGTGCAACACGTTTTGCAACTTTTATAATCACAATCTGTCAATGGGTGTACTTCAAACAGTCCTGTTGTCCCTAGTAAGTCGTCCCCCTCCCCCACGCAAACAACATGCACCTGTTGAGTTTTTAATTTGCAAACTCCAAGTTTGACTTTGATCTCTGCTGCAGTTTCACAGGCAGGTGTCTCACCCTAAACCCTTTTGCAAAGTTGTAAGAATTAAAGGAAACCACACCTGGCTTGTTTAGACTTGTCTAACACCTACTTTTGCAAGTGAGCTGATTTCAACCTATCAACAGATTTTGGAAAACCAGTATTTCACTAATGTTAGGGAAGGGTCTAAATGATAGCCAACAGGATAACTAAGATTCATAGGGTGGATTCCTGTTGCTTAGCATAGTAAGTCACACTAGAGTCGGCTCATTGAATCAGTGAAGAATTGCTTAGTCAATTCTGTAAGTTCCATTGATTCAAATGGGCTGACTGTAGTTGCAACTTACTATATTTATTTATTTATTAGATTTTTACCCCGCCCCTCTAGACAATGTCTACTTGGGGTGGCTTACATAGATAAAACACATCAATATAACATATATAAAATCATAAAGAATACAATTATAGCGATTAATTCCAAACAATACATTATCAAAATGGCAAAAAAAATAAAAATACTAAAGTCAGCTGGAATTAGAATAGACCCACTGAATCAATTGAACATATGGATGAGTTGACTCACCAAATCTCCATTGATTTTGTGGGCCTATTCTAGCTTAAGTTACTCTGCTAAGGAACAGGATTTCAGTCATAGTAAAACATATTCTGAAGTCAAATGTATGAACAAATCCAAACCAGAGAGGAATTATCTTAACTCTAATTATACTTTTAAACTGTATTAAATGTTTCAGCTATTCTACAAGAGTCACATGACTGTTGACGACACTCCAATAAAAGGAAGTAGTGTCAATAATTTAGAGTGGGTTTTCCTTTTAAAAAATATGAATGGCTATCATCTTTTCTACAGTTCTTGACACATTGGTAAAATCAGTATTCATTGTTATTTCATAGCTCTTACCTGC